TGGGAGTCCTGCGTCCAGCTCTGGAGCCCTCAGCACAGGACAGACATGGACCTGTTGGAGTGGGGCTGGGAGACTAGGGGTTATTCAGCCTGGAGAAGAGAAGGCTCAGGGAGATGTCATTGTGGTCTTCCAGTACTTAAAGGGGTCTTATATGAAAGATGAGGGTGGGCTGTTTAGTAATGCCTGTTGTGATAGGAAAGGGTAATGGTGTTAAACTAAAAGAGGGTAGATTTAGACTGGATATAAGGAAGAAGTTTTTTATAATGAGGGTGGTGAAATCCTGACACAGCTTGCACAGAGAGGTGGTAGATGCTCCAGCCCTGGAAACATTCAAGGCCAGGCTGGATGGGGCTCTGGGCAACCTGATCTAGTTGAAGACGTCCCTGCTCCTTGCAGGGGGATTAGACCAGATGACCTTTAAAGGTCCCTTCCGACCCAAACTATGCTATGATTCTATAGCCTTCACCTCACTTGCCTCATTGAACCCTAGGGCATGAGCTTGAGCAGCATAAGACAGGATCTTGACAATCATGTTCCCATTGCTTGTCTTGAGTAAAATAATTGACTCCACAGATGCTTTATTTTTCCCTCTGCCTACATGCAGGGTGTGCCGTACAGTGGAAGAGGTTAGCTTGGATCCGTAGACACAGACTCTTTGATTTGGTGTTGGCTATTCTTTCACATGCACTATCTAATAAATCACACGCTGAATGCAAATGAGCAGAAAGCAATACAAGTCAAGGTAACATCCCAAGGGTTTTCTAAACAGCTTACGTAGAGAGCTGGCGAATGGTAAGAGGGTGACCTGTATACTGATGATATGTTATTTGGGTTTTTATGACCTGTTTCAAGAGACTTATGATAAAGCGCAGTCTGCTGAGTTGCGTCGTTCTGAGGGCATCTTCAAGGTCTGGTACACAGGATTTGATGAGTGCATGGGATCATACTGCAGCCCGACTTGAATGCCAGTGAATGCTGTTCATCAGATTGAACAATAGCTAAATAGAAAACAGAAGTTTCAAACTGGACTCGGGTCACGTCCATATTAATGCTTTAGTTCACAGCAATGGCGTAGTTTTGAAGGAAACACCCTGATCATTCCCTTCTATCACACACAAGAGAGGTGGATTTGCAGAGCAATTTTGATGGATTCCAATCTAGTCATTTGAAGAGAACTAAATTGGATGCCCTGCTTCTAGGGTGCATCAAGTCTGCTGCAGACTCTGATGGGGGGGGGGGGGGGGTTGGGAATGGTGTGTCAGAAAGATTAAAACCAGTCATGTGGTGAGAACATGTAGTTAAAAGGCCAGACTAAATTGCTGATAGAGGGGCTGGAGCACCAAATGTTTTGATAAAATAGTTACTTTCTAAGGTAGGCATGGTCTAGACCCATTGTCAGGTGCACCAGTGCATTTAGCAGGCAACAATGTTTTCTAAATTGAGTAAATTCAGTTGCAAAACAGGGTCATGTCATGTACATGCCATTTGGGCTGTGTACAAACACACGGCCCACCTGCAAAGCTTTGTCGTGCTAGAAACACATAAGCATTAATATTCCATACATACGGGTTTGAGAGTCAGGAATGTTTGCATTTCTGTCTCCTCTTTATTTTCTTTGGTATGTTTTTATTTTTGTAAGAAGGTTGAAACAAAGCTTTTCAGTAGGAAGAAAGTTTAAAGTAGTTGTGAGCACTTAAAATCTTTGGCTGTGTTGTGGTCTATTATGTTTTTCTTGCTGTGGATTTGATCTCTTCCTCCTGTCATGAAGAAGTGCATGTGATTAAAGGAGTTATTAAGCTGCAAGTAGAGAAATGATGATGGGCCACACAGATTTGTAAACAACAAACAGAATTGTGTACAAAGGGGCTAGTGCAGTCTTATTCCAATTTTCATGTCATTCATTTTTCTTTTGAGGTAGTCTCAATGTTAGGTCAAAATGACCTTCTTTGTTGTTAAAAAAAAAACAAACCAAAAACAAACACAAACCTGAACATCAGCCACTTTAAATTCAGTCCATTTGAAGTATAATTTTAATGGCAGTTGTGAGAAACAGGGTGTAAGAAAGTTTTGGGGGGGTTGGCTTTTTTCCTCTTTGAAGTATCTGAAGACACAGATTCTGTGATTCAGAATAAGATCTCTAGAAATCCCTAGGTACCTAATGTCCAAGAAAAAATTATCTGCATTTCTAGACACTTGAGATATTTTCAAAAATTGTACTTCAAGGTGCCTAATTTTACTTTGGTGTTAATAGACAAAAATGCTTCTTCTCTACAAAATTCTGGAAAATATTTAGACCTTACTGGAAAATGAAGAGCAGGAATTCATGAGGCTAGTGGTGGACATTTTCCTCATGGCGTGTGTAGAAGCAGAATCCTTGCGTACTGGCTTAGTCTGTCATTCCTGTGATGCTGGAAAATACATCAGATCCGAAATACCCACGCAGAGTAAGTGTCAACAGGGAAGACCAAGAGGTCTCGGTCTTCTGCAGTGTTCCCGCTGAGCAGTCACCCTCCTCCTTTGGGGAAATTACCATACAGTAGCTATAGTTGGTTACAGTCTTCTCAGTCATCCCTGAGAGAACAAACATTTCCAAATTATTTCAGTGTTAAATCATTAATTTGGCAGCTGCAAAATAAGTAATAAGGCTTGGGTGGTGATGATGTGAGGAGACTTAAATATAAACCCGAAGGCTGGGCATGTTTATGTCAGATATGAAGTTTATGGTTTTATAATACAATATTGCCACGCTTTATTCAGTTGAATAATAGTTTTGGATACTGCAGTTCGTGCTTTCACTAGACAGTGTTGAAATCTGAGATCCTACCGAAAAATAGTTGTCAAAAATCAGGTGTGTTTGAGTCTCTAGGCTGTCTGGGGAGATCTGGACCAGAACAGTGTACTTCCTTTCAGGCTCCAGCGAAGACAGGCATGCTTGTCGAGTGGTCCAAGAAGACACAAGCGGATGAGTGGAGCACTGAAACGTAGTTCACTTTCTTAGTCTTGGATTTCTCCAGACTCTGTTTCCAGACTCAGTTCTGAGGATGCAGCTTTTCAGCACTACCGTCTACAAGACAGCTGGCTTCTGTAAGACCAGAGGAAGAGAGGCATTGGGACTCATAGAGCTTACCAAAGCCAAACTTTAATAACTTGGAAAAGGAAGGTTAGGTGTTTTGGGTTGAGTATTTACCAGCCCGAGATCTACTTTGTTTGTGGGTTGTGTACACAGGTAAACAAATTGGAGAGTAAAACTTAAACCTGGGGGAGGATCGACTAATAAGTAATTAGCAGGTGGGAGAGCACAGCATGGGTGAATCCTATTAAATATTTGAATGACTTCCTCTGCGAATATTGGCATTTGGTACTAATCACAGCACTGTGGATAGCGCATTGCATTAAAACAATGCAAGTTCTTTATGAGCTGTCTCAGTCCAGACCAATTTGTTCATTGTAAGGCTGGGTTCGTTTGGCTGCAAGGGAGGAGTGACTCCTGGCTTCTCATTCTTCAGGGACATGTGCAGAGGACAGTTCCCTGCAGCTATCTGCTGAAATCCAACATGCTGGATTGCCATATTAGACTTGGAAGGAAGGTAAATTGTTAGCTGGCTGAGCTTAACAAGATGAAATGGGGAAACAATTAAAGAAAAGGGAGTTTATACTTTGAATATAATTACTAGGGTGTAGCTTTTTGGAACCTGCTCATATTTCTGAAAAGATGGGAGTTTCCTTCTCATTTAGTCAAACATTTCCTGAATGGGTGCCTGAAATAGGGTTGGTCTTTCAGGTTCTGCCCCCCCCCCACAGCGCTTTTGACTCACCTGGCTTAATGTCAGCAATAAACTCTGAACCACAGGTGGAAAATGTGCAAAGCCAGGCAATCCAGCTGGTATTCCACTTTCTGTGTCTGGCGCTGACAAAATATAGTGCTTGGACCAGTTTCAGGTGGGAGGAGATGTTTATGTCTCTTCCCACAGTCTGCAAAATGGCTTTTGAGACCTTGCAACCCATTTGGAATTAATGTAAGGCTTCTTGAAAAAAGTCACTCTGTGTTAATGCCAAAGCATGCCAGTTGACATTGGATTATTTCTTTTGTCAATTCTGGTTCTACTTCCCATTTCTTTTTTTTTTCTGTTGCTCGTTTTGCTGGGCAGATTATCCCATAGACAAAGCTGGCTTTTCTGTGGAGTGTGGGATTGCAAGTAAGATTGGTCTTCTCATTTGGCACACTGGTTGAGTTTTCCCTTATCAGATTGCAGAAGGAAATCCCCTTCTTGTGGGATGTGCTGTGCATTTCAGCTCTGTCTGAAGGAGGGGTGACCAGAGGAGCCAAGGGACTTGGATGTTCTAGTAAGCCTCATATACAGAGCAAAGACTCAGGCACCAGGCAGGGTGGAGAAGAGAGGCGATGGTATTTAGGCTGTACTTTTTTCTCAAGGAGCGAGAATGGTTGCACTTAGTGTAACAAGCGACTCTCGGCAGTTGTTGGCCGTGAGGAGGAAATACGGTCAGAGATGGACCCCGTCATACAGTAGGGAAGTTTAGGTGTGGATTTAGACTCCATAACTAGGATATGTTTGTGCTATTCCGGACCAAACGGGAGAGGAGCTCTGGGGATTTGGGCCAGGACAGAGAACTTTGGAAAACAGTAATGGTGAAAAGATCAGTGAGAATCTCATACTGTGTAGTGACAATTTGTAGCAGATGTTTCATTTTGCCTTTGGGCTGCAAATGCAGAAGCAAAGGCTGGGGAAGTGCATAGCGCTGAAGGGTGGTGCTTCATGTAGAAACTCACTGACAGGTCTACATGTCAGGGAAATAACTGCAAAGAAAAGAATTAGATGTGGATAAAGGTAAAGATTCAGATATTAATCCCTCCTGAAAAAATCAAGCATCTTACCTTGAAGAAAGCATAAAACTGAGAAGAGCTCAGGCTGAACACTGGCGACGGCTTCAGGGAAGTGCTGCAGGAGTCCTGGCGCTGGAGCATCCTGCGGGAGACTATAGGAAGCGGTGGCGAGCCAGGCTGCAAGGATGACCCCAGACCCTGCCGGCTGGGCGGTCGTGGCTCGTTTTTTAAGGTCTTGCTGCCATCTGGTGACTCTGGGGGGAAGAGCAGCGTCTCTGCAAGCTGTTCGCTCACGGAGTGATGATGTTGGACATTTCCTTTCCCCTCTGCCGTCCCTGTGCGTTTGCGTTATATCTGCCCTCTTTCCCATTCCTGAAGGTATCCATCTATCCATTGGAAAGGTAATGAAGCAGCAGCTCACAGGACAGCTGCAACAAGTGCCATTTGTCATCCAGTTAATTCCGAATGTCACAGTATGGGCTGTTTTGTTTCCTCCCAAGAGACATAAAGAAGACTAAATTGTAATGTGCTGTTTGTCACCCCCTTAATCCTTCCATGTCCTCTTCCACACAGAATACAAACCAAGCTATGTCCGGAATCGCTCTATCCGGTCTGTATCTGTTGAGCTGGATGGAGCCATTTATAACTTGGGTTTGGAGGACGGCTACCAACCTGTCTTACCACGAAACATCACCAAGCGGCACAAGGTGCAGAGGGCTGTTTTTAGTGAGGAGGAAGATAAGGACGTGGGGGAGTACAGTGGCACCGGTGGCATTGCAGAGTACACAGCCCCTAACCTGATAAAAGTGACTCACAGGTGAGTGCACATGCGGTATTGCTAAAAGCTTTGGCTACCTAAGTGGCTGCGTTATGTAAGTGGCTGTGTTAACTGGTGAGCAGCAGGTTGTGCCCCTTTTGGATACCCAATCTAGCTTCACTAAAGTTCTTATTCTCATCTGTACAACAGCTTTTGGTTTTGTTAATTTTGTCACGTACAGAGGGGTATGAAGCTACTGAAGAACTACAGCAGTGCTTTTATGTCTTCTTCACTTCGGAGACGGTAATGACTGATCAGGGCATGTTTCCAGTGAGGAGAAGCAAAACTGTTTGCAGCAGTCGCGCGTACACCTGTGTGAAACCAGGAAAGGCTCTACCCATGGAAATCTCAGTGCGCAGCGGGTAACCTGGCCTGTCTGGAGACCGCAGGTTCCAGCTGGAGTACAACCTAGTTTCATGTCCTTGGTTGCTTTGTATTTCAAACACCAAATCAGTCCTAAGGGAGTAAGCAGCCTCTTAAAGCTTTCTGTAGCCAGTGCTAGGAAAGGAAAATGTATACTAGGAATGAAGTTGGATGGCCCAGGAGCATTGGGAAGCGGAACATAGTGAGGGAGAGGTGAGGGAATTGTCTGGGCACTCTAATAGCTAAAAGTCTGTTCCTCAGTGTGCAAGTCTTGGGGCTGATGATGGATCTTCAACTGTACTTAATTAGTTTAGTCACCATTTCTGCTTGTAAATTATCAGGAAATCGAGCATTACGTTCATTAAATTGTTTAATGACTAGCTCATGTAAACATACACGAGCCTGTTAGCTGTGTTTGAATTTGTGGTTTCCATTTGACTTCTGTTTACGGAGTTAGAGACTCACTGGTATGAGGAAATGTAGCTAGGTTGACATCAGAGAACTGTGCCCTTACCCCAGCTCTCAGGAATGTCCAGGACCCATGAATCAGTATTTTCACTTTTCTTCTGGAACAAGTTAAATTGATTTTTGCTGCCTTACTGGGTGAATCCCAGATCCATACAAGGAACTGTCAGGAAGGTTGTGCATGATGCATGAGGAGTCCCCAGGAACACTTGCAGAAAAGAAGGCAGTGGGGACAACAAGCATGAGTTGGTTTAAAGAAAATAAAGGACTGTGGAAAATACTCAGCTTTAATTAAAACAAGCATTCGAAAATGACTACATGGTGTTTGTTGACCCCTAATAAACTTCTCGGGTAAATCTGTCAAGTGTGCTTTTTGGTTTTGAAATAATTCTAAAACCTGGATTGTATTAGAGGTTTGTAAAACGTAAGAACTTGAAGTTGTCAGAGGGTGTTTTGCCTTTGAAGTCAGAGACATATCTTTGAAAAGATTTTTATGTAGAAAACAGCAAAATTTCTTTGTTTCTGGTTTTTTTTTTCCTTTTCTTTATGATGTAGTAATACATCTTATAAAGAAGTACTTTATCCTTGCCCCTGCCCCCATATCACTTAATTATGCATTGGGAAATTGCTTCTGAGTAATGCTGTTGATGCTTGCTAGTTAGTAGAGATTATTTATGTAGGCAGCCTAATGAATAAGCAAGACCTCTGTGCAGCAAAATTTACATATAGAAATCAAGCAGTCAACAGGTTCTGCTTCATAGGAATGTTCTCCTTCAATTTTTCTACTTCTGAAAAATTTCCATGGCAACTCAAACCCAAACTTCTTTCCTGGCTCATAGCACACTCGTCTCCTCCTGAATGAGCACTGTTTTTTTCAATTCTCCATGTCATTTCCAATCTGGCTTCTCATCTGTCCTGGAGTTGTGTTATTAAAACCAGCTGTTTGCGTTGCTCTGTATGTGTGTATCCACCGTAATAAACATTGTTTGCTTTTCCATGCCAAGGTGCTATATCCTGGAGAATGACACCGTTCAGTGTGACACAGATCTGTACAGGTCACTGCAAGCGTGGAAGGACCATAAACTTCATATTGACCACGAGGTCGGTGATGTTCTCAGTCCTGCATGTTCAGTGGGGTTTTCTGTGGGCCGATAGGATCATGCTGCCTGTGTTTGTGTCTGTCTGCCTCTGGGTGTCTGTGTACCTCCTTGGAACATTTTGAACTTGCTGGCTGATTTCAGAATACATATGTCAGAGATAAGTAAGTTATTACAAGTTTGTGAAGACAAGACGTGGAGTGGAGGAGAGAACTGTAACTGAGCGGACAGCTTAGAAATGTCGTAAGCCTTATGAGGTAAATGAGGGACTTGTAAGTGTCCCCATCCTGGGAAAAATTTCATTTGGATCTTTGTCACATCTCACTAGCCCTGCTTCTCAATGTACCTCTCAAAAAGAGTCCTGCAACTATCAAACATAAGCCCAAGGAGAAGTGAGCTTTGTTAGTTTCTGTGCTTCTAGAATTATTTATTTTGCTTGCTTGTGTTTAACCCTTGCACTTTGGAATTGAATTAGTTTTCCTTAGGCTTGTGTGTGTGAAGAACCTGGAGATAATTTGCCCTGTGAAATTTGTCTGTGAAACTTCATATGACATTTTTGTCACTAATACTGAAGAATATAAGCTCAAACCCTTCACACATGCTGTGTATGAAAGAGGCAGTCTTCTAAGACCAATAATGGTGGAAGAAATACCAAAGAGAAGCATAGAGAAAGGGCCTCCTGTAACCTCTTACCAAATTACGTGAATCACAGCACAGTCCTATGCAAGAACTAGTTGGCCCCTTTCATGGTACAGATTGATGCGTAGCGAGGCAGATGGACACTGAAAAACTTACTAGCTTTGCTGGGTTTAAAAAAGGGCAATTTCAGTGTCACCATACTCTTTTAATTCTTTTTTCTTCAAAAAAGGTAGGCTATATGGAGTGCGAAAGCAAATGAGAGCTCACTCCTGTCCTGTTGTGTTCCTGATGTAAGCTCACAGGGCTGGATTCTTCGTGTATTTTTCTTGAGCACTCTGTCCTGTCAGTGCCTCAGCAGCCACGTGCTTCCACTAGACTTCTGGTCTAATGGTAATTGTGCAGTGACTTTGTTGTTCACACCAGATTACTTTGCTTTTTCTGCTGAGTAAAGAACCGAGGTGTAAGTCTGTAGTACCCATCTGGGTGGAAATGGGCCACGCTGTGTGAGCTAGACTGAACAAAAGTGTGGAGCCTCATTTAGTGACAAAAAAAAAAAACAGGCTGTTAAAAATAAACCACATTGGTGGCACAATTAACTGCTAATCCGTATCCCATGTGGCCAGACATTGCTGGAGACTGCCATGCAAAATGACAGAGCCTTGCTGCTTTTCTTTTTCCAAAGCTCTGAAGAGGGGACTTCAGAGCGCTCCCTCCCCATCCGCTGCTCAGGTTCATAACAGGCTGAATTTGAAGGGCTCCATTTTCCTTTGAGTAACCAACCTTTCCGCCCTTGCAAACGTGCTGTAGAGCACAAGAGGAAAAATCAGAATGGACCCAGGAGTGGTTGTCTACCCGAGGCTGTGTGCCCTCCCATTCCCCCAGTGCCATGTTCTGCTTTCACATTCAGTAATCAAAGCAGGCAGACTGTACCAGCGCGGCTCCCCTGCTGTAGGTTTTATTCTGGAAAGGCAGATAATCTGAAAATGCTTGTTAGTGGTGGGAGTCATGGGAGGTGGTGAAAAGGAAGCATTTGGTGACCATAGAATGGGTTTGAGAAGGTCAGAATAGGACTAAATTCTGCCGTGTTTTTTTTAACCTGTATGTTTACTTTCTTTAGATTGAAACTCTGCAAAATAAAATAAAAAACCTGAGGGAGGTGAGAGGTCATCTGAAGAAGAAGCGACCTGAAGAGTGTGACTGTAACAAGATAAGGTATTTGTTCTGTACTTCAGAGTAATTATTTGTAGTGAGCACCTGTAGCTGATTTATGTCTTCACAGGAGAGCTCAGAAGCTGTTTTGTGCAGTGGTTGCCCACTTACTGTACTCTGGTATAACGCTTGCTGGGGGAGTTGGACTGCTGCAGAAGTACAAGGCCCACCTTCTGCCAGGCAGGAGTTTAATTGCCTCTGTGTCAAGTGATGGTGGTGTAACAGGACGTGTAATATGGTTATAAACCAGTTAGTTATGCTCTGGTACTGAAGATCCTGCTATTTGATAGCAGAGATTAATAGATTTTACGCTGCAGGCTTTTTTCTGAAAACTTGCTTTCTACAAGGCCAAATTGTCAATGTGGTGCAGTGTTCCACGAATCTGTTTGAAAAAGAATAGTGTGTAAAGCATGTGGAAAAACAGGATGGGGAGGTGAGAGGATTTCTCCCCCTTCAGTTGTTTCAAGGCTGGATGTATTATCACATCGGCTGCAATCACTGCAATATTTAGCAGCTGTGCCAGGTGGGAGAAGCAGGAGTTTAACTGTTGGTGCAGGGTAACTGTATTTTTGTAACAACCACTGACGTAGTGCAGATCTTTTTTTCCCTAGCGCAGATTATGTGTGAACTGTAAGGGCAACGGGCAATACTAAAATAGTGATTATGCATTAAGGTCTCTGCATATTTGGTTTCTCCTGTAGCTAAATATTTGCAAAATGGCTGTAGGTTCAGCCCATGGAAAGAAGGTTCAAGCAAGATGGGGAGCAAGCAAGCTCTTGCTCTGCAAATAAGCACAGCAGAAAATCTTTCAAAAGCAAATGTTAACTCCAACAGAATTTGCCCCTGAGAAAGCTGTTCAGAAGGAAGCAAGGATCGTAGTGATCACCGAGCAATCTCTGAGGCTGCTGTGAGCCAGCTGTCACCTGGGGTACAGCAGCTGCGGTGGCGGTAGCAGGAGGAATATCACAAGGAAAGCTGTACTGGACTGTGCTGAAAACCACAAGGCAGCCATGCTATTGTTTGAGCTAAAGCGGTTTTAACTAAGTATTAGCCTCTGTGAGAGTGTGCAGATGATACTGCTCTGTCTCGTTGGTGTAATGGAATGAGGTTTTGAGCATAACGCTTAAATCCCTGGAGGTGCAACATACCCTGGTTTACAGACATGACGTACGTAGTCCTTGCGGCCTGCGTGAATTCTGCGACATAGCTTCAGCTACAGAGCACATCAATTTCTTGGGTTATGCCAACTCATACATAGAACTCGTGGCAAAAAATGTTTAAAATGAAATCAGTATAATTCTAAATGGCAATTCCCCAAAAAGTTTATATTGTCTTATAATCCACTGCTTTCAAAACTGATGTTTACATCTGATTTTATTTAATATATACTTTAAAGATTAAGTTATTTTTATAACGAGTGTTCTATAATAAATGTAAAGAATGTTACATTTTTCAGACCCAGTACAGGAAGCACTTAGATGACCTTAGATGACCTGTAACGGTCCCTTCCAACCCAAACAATTCCATGAGTCTATATTCATGCACAGCATTATTAAGATGAATAATCCTACTGAAATCAATGGAGTTAATCACCTGAGTTATAGGCGTTTTAGTGTTTGCAGAATTGCATTGAATTAAGATTTAGCATTTAGGATTAGTTAATGAAATACCCAGTGCCTGTGCAAGATAAAAAAAATTGACTGTAGATAGATAGTTCTTATTTTGTTAATTTGCTATAAGGATTACATTTATTAAAGCTCCCGCTAGCATTAATAATTTAAAAAGATTTGTTTTGAAGATAGTTTTAGTCTAACAGCTGAGTTCTGATGTACTGTTTAGAAAATAACATTTAGTGACCTTAGTTTGATGATTTGTGTGGGCAGTGTAATGAACTTATCGGTCAGAAAATATTGCCATTGCCTAAGGCTGTTTTGGCTTTTTTTTAACTTTGAAAACTACATGGAAAGGAAATGTCTGCAAAATCTTATTCTAAGAGTTTCTGGAGACAGAACCAGAACAGTCGAGCCACCCAGCTAGAATGTGAGTGCCCACTGACACCCTCCATACCTCAGAGTGTATCAGACGCTGCTGTTGCTGGGACGGTTCCATGCATCTTACTGAAGTTCTCCTGGAACTTCTAGCTATAACAATGGAGAAAAGCCCCAACCCCACAAAGTGCAACTGGTATTTAAATTCATTCAGAAGGAAAACAGTAGGAAGGTGGTATGAGGTTGTCATCTTATTAGCTGAACACAGTAGTGAATGTTTCGTTGAAGAAATGTTGTAATTGGATTATAAGTCTATGGATTTTATCTGCCCTGCATACGGAAACAAGAAACAACGACAACTAAAATTGAAAATTGTAGCTGGAATGATCTGTGGCTACACATTGCAATACAGTGTGAGAGCAGGAGATGGCACCACGCACAAATGAGCTGAGGAGAAAGAAAAAAAGGCCCAACAGGGCTCTGAAGTGCCTGACCGAAGCTAGCAAGGCTGCTTTGCATTCATCGCATACCCTGAAGGAATAAATTGAAGGGAGAAGTGATTCTGGATTAAATCTGCTTCAAATCCAGTGTGATAGTGTGGTATGAACAGGAGCAGTTGTTTTTTCTGTTGTTCATCAACAATGCTGTTTTTCTTTTCCAGTTACCATTCAAAACACAAAAGCAAACTGAGGCACAAGGGCTCTAGTCTTCATCCTTTCAAGTAAGTGAAGGCCTGTTCCTTTGAAAGAGGGAATGCAAAGGCTTGAATTTTGAACATTTTACAAACATGTAAAATTACAATTCCATGTATCCTGTATTAAAAAGAATAAACACACAGACACCTGGGTAAGGAACTAAGCCCATGCTGAAATGCTTGTGACATCTGAGCTAAGGTTCCTGGTTTGGGAAATGTCACATCACAGACTTCAGGCAAGCTTAGAAGTCCCTTTGGCTGCTTTTTTTTTTTTCAGTGCCACTGAATTGCAGAGTCATATCCAGAGGCATTTGGAAGAGAAGCCATTTAATTAAAAGGCACGGGTTCTTTCTTTCCCTCAGAGCAGCTTATTTTATTAGCTGCTTCATTTTCTTTAGGTGTGTTCAAGAATAACAGAGCCTGCATGACCCTAATGTTTCATGTGTGCAGGAAAGCCCTACAGGAGAAAGACAGGCTCTGGCTGCTTAGGGAACAAAGGCGAAAGAAGAAACTGCGCAAACTGCTGAAGAGAATAAAGAATAATGACACATGCAGCATGCCTGGTCTGACCTGCTTCACCCACGACAACCAGCACTGGCAGACTGCTCCCCTGTGGACACGTAAGGATACTTTAAACTACGTAATAGGTAGGCGCATACTGGCTAGGCTGGGCAAGGATGCTGGGTTACTAGAAGTTACCGATATCAATTAGTTGTGTAGCCAAAGCTACGCAGCTCTCCTCATACTAAATAATTGTTTCAGTGCTGGCATTATCCTTACACAAAAGGCCAGGGAGTTAAAAACAAAACCAACTGCAAATAAAAACCTACAGCTATTGTGTCCAGTACTATGATGTGTAGTGTCTCATCATCTGGAATGTTTCCCAACCAGAGAAGACAGGGAAAGCAACTGGCCATGATGTTGAGGTAGCCATGCACAGAACAGGGAGCTGATGCTGGAAGGCATTCTCTGCTTTAGAGCTCAGGAGTCAGAGAGAGAAACTGCCTATGAATAAAGTAATATCATAAATGAAAAGTAATAAGCAGTGCCTAAAGCCAGCAGCATGTGGCTTACATCTTTATAACTCTTCAATTTGCAGTGGGCCCTTTCTGTGCCTGTACCAGTGCCAACAACAACACATACTGGTGTTTGAGGACAATCAATGAGACCCACAACTTCCTCTTTTGTGAATTTGCTACTGGATTTTTGGAGTACTTTGATCTCAATACCGATCCATATCAGGTACGTCTTCATAGAACAGCTCTAGAAAATACATCCTTGTTCCTTACCGATGATAAATTGAAATAGCACGGTATTGGTGCAGGATGTAGAGACGGCCTAAGTCATTGATTGTAGTGTGATTTGGCTTCTTCCCTGTTACAAATAAACCACGTGTATTCCATGTATGGAAGTTACCAAACTACAGAGCAATAGTTACTGACAAGAACCTCTGTTTATTGCAGCTAATTAATGCAGTGAATACACTAGATAGAGACATTCTCAATCAACTGCACGTCCAACTCATGGAACTAAGAAGCTGCAAAGGGTATAAACAATGCAATCCAAGAACTAGGAACATGGATCTGGGTACGTGCCTCTCCTGTTACACTCAGAAACTCCCCTAAAGAAACGGGGCTCTTACTTATCAATATGAAACTTGTATCAGTCAAAAGAGTTTTAGTATTTCTTTGTACTATTAATGTCCTGCGGAGGCTGGTGGCTGCATGCGCAAATTTTTGTATTTGCTCCATTTGTGTTCTGTCATGTTTCTTAAATGAAGAATGATGCTTAAATAGTGTAGTGAGGAGTGTTGCTGAGGCGCAGGGGAAGGAGATGGGGAAGGAACAAAACTGGTGAAAGAGGGAAGGAATACCCCAATAGCTACTTCCACACTCGCAGGACAACCCACGTCGGAAGCGACTTCTGGAGCTTGTCAGGTCCAAGCTTCTGCTCAGCGCAGGGTCAGCTGTGAGGTCAGCCGAGGTTACTCAGGGATTTATCCAGCTGCATTGTGAAAACCTCCAAGGGTGGAGACTGCACAACCTCTTTGGGTAACCAGTGTAGCAGCTGAGTTTCAGTGTTGCAGCTGAAGGCATGATTTTTAGAAACGCTTCTTTTAGAGACAGCAGTAAACTTAAAAAAAAAAAAAAAAAAAGTCAAAAAGGATCCAAGTGCTTAAACTCATCAGTTTTCCCCACCTGTGTTGGTGTAAGGTAGTTGTGAAATAACAGCGCATCCAAGAATGGTTGCATTGTGCTACCAAAAGGTGCTCCCGTCAGTATGGATTTAAATTCCATAAAGCACAATGGGTCTTTACTCTTGTCCCTTAAATTTTCTCTGGGTCTGCTCAGTGGATCTGTTTTTTATACTGCTTGTGTTTTTTTCATGTTTAATGGTGTTAGCAAAGCAAAAGATACAGTTACTTGTATTTCTTTTTAAATTGCCTTTCATATACCCCTTAGTCCAATTAAGTTGATGTAAGAAATGCTATTTTTTAAAAAAGTAGAGCCTTTAGAGCTTGAAGACCTCCCAGCCCCAAAATACTGTTACGTACCTGAGTCCACCCAACTCCATAATACTGTTTCGGGTCCTATTTAGTACATGCACCACACAGAGCTGTGTGTTTGGAAATCAACAGGTTTTGGCATTTAAATACACCACCAAAGGACATTTACAGAAAAGTTTCAAATATATCTATCCCAATTTACAATCTGTTTGACCTGGAATAAGGGGTTAAATATGAAACTAACAGCTCCAGGTAACACGTATGGAAATATCTATCATAGCCGTACACTTTGATTTGTTAATATTCCTAGGTCTTGTTTTAAATTGTGCCTTACCTGATACCTCATTCTGTTGCAGGCAATGGTTAGTAACATTGTTAATTTTTCCTCACCTAGGACTTAAAGATGGAAGCTACGAGCAGTACAGGTACATTTTAAAAAAAATAATTCAATTATTATTCCTAAGTACTACCTTCATGCTGCAGCAGTTAGGAGTGTGGGATTGGGAACCACAGGGACAGACACTGCATGGAGTTGCCTTTGCAAGATTTTTCCATCCCAGTGACTTTGAAACACTGGAGCTATTTCTGTTTCAATGTTACAGCATGTTTTAATCTTTGTAGTCAAAATTCAGGCTAAACTCTTCTCCTTCCTCATCTTTCAGACTGTAGTGCTGGTGGGTTTCTTGGTGATGGTTAACTTTTTTCTCCTTTTGCTGCTTGAAAATTAGGCAGTTTCAGCGTCGAAAGTGGCCAGATGTGAAGAGACCATCATCTGCCAAGTCACTGTGAGTTGGGAGCAGTTCACAAAAAGCATTAGCTTTTACTTGCCTGCCTTTCCTTCACTTCTCTTTCTGCATGCAGCACCTGTTTTAACATCACCATCTATCCTCATGGAATGCTTAAGTCCTCTAAATTACGCAAGAAATATGATACAGCCATCACTACAGGGAACTACTGCTGTACAAAACCTCTTGGTACATTTTTTTCTTGGAATCTAGGAGCATTAGGGTCAAGGCAATTTCAAACTTGAGCAAAGGTGGATGCTCAGTTGAAGAAACCATTTGTGGTTAACTGCCATTAGCAATCAGAGACCCTTGTATTGGTTTTGTCTGAGTATAAACTTGTAGCAGCTACCTAGTTGTCTCTCACACCATCCAGAAAGAACAAAACCGATGATAATTTCTCAGAGTAGAGAGAGAGTATTGTGTGGTTTTTTGCTATGTATCCAACCACAACCTCTTGTGTTGTGAGCAAAAAAAGCACGTTAGAACACAAAGTAGTCTACAAGACAGTTTTATTCTAACATTATGCTCAAATCTAAGATTGCTAATAGCTCACTTAACTGCCCTTTAAAACTTGAGGATACTAAGTTCTCAGCTTGCCAGAGCCCAAAGGTGAGATACAAATTCAAAGACATGAAAAAGTTGCCTTTGCTGTGCCAGTTTGTCTCTGAATCTCCCCTTAAAAATGGGTTGAGACTTCAGCTCAGTGAAAATCAGAAGGTGCTCTCAAATTGTGCAGTGAAAAAATATGTACAAGTACCTTAATAGGCACAGTCTGGCCGTCTCCACTGGCCCAAGAGGATTTGCTCATTTAATGGTAATATTTTAATTTCTAGTTGAAGAGCTCCGAGGCTGGCTTTAGAAGCAAAAGGAAGCTGCACTTAATGAGATACAAGTTTTGTACAGGTTGAAGTTTCAAACGTACTTGTTTCTGTGATATACCTGCTGTATTTTCTAGGTAGTCCACAATGTTTCAGTTGTGTTTTCCTGCATGGAACCATTAAAAATATATTTCTGACTATTTCCTACTACAATGTTGTGCACTAAATCGTGTTTGTTTTATTTTAAAGAGGACAGCTGTGGGAAGGATGGGAGGGCTAACCTCTCCCAGGTGCTGCACCTCCATGAGGATACAAACTGGCCAGAACTTGAATCTACGTACAGACGAAATGAAAATGCGTATGACTTCACAAAGAATGATAGTGTTAGCCTGGAGGACTGGATAAACTTTGAGGCTGAAGTAGATAGAATGTTTGCACTGGTGAGTGAATTAGACGCAGTGAAATTACAGGAAAGGCTGTCAAAAATACAGGTCTCTGAAACCCACTATCATACCTGCTTTTTGCTTGGGATTATACCTCACCTGTGTCACAAGGCGTTTTACTTCACAAAGACACCACTGACACTGATCCAGGAACTGACGGCAGAGGAAATACAGCAGCACCCCAAAGAGGATTGCCGTCCCAGGGGCACACTGTACACAAGGAAAGGGGAAGTAAACTTAAAACATTTCTCAGCTCAACTGTACCTTCAGATGTCATGAGAGAAGCTTCCAAGCCAAGCAGAACTCCAAAACAAGATTTAGAAAACATGGACGCTTTTGCTTCTAGCTGGGGTAAAGATAATGGTGGAAAAAAACTTTTAAGAGATTTAGGAATTGAAGCGAGCAGCATTGAATATTCTCAACACCATGATATTTCTCAAATTTCTTCTGAGGATACATTTTTGTTCTATGTCTACTTGTCCATTCTATTGACACCTCTAGGAAAATTAGAGAAAACCTTGACTAACAGGACGCTGGATTCTTGGAGGGGTTGTGTAAATATTGATCAATGTACTGTCTGAAAAGAAATTCCTTCAGGTTGTGAAGAATTTTGTTAATAAAAAGAGCAGAATGCCCACACACCATTTCTCAAAATGTTACTTAATGTTGCATAGTACATTTCAGAATTTATCCATTTTTAAAATTACTGAAAAATGTCAGTAAATGTACATCTTAAATTTTAATGAAATCAGATTTGTATTAAGTTTTTTTATGTGGTAATATTATATTGTATGTTCAAAACCAAAACAAATTCCTTTGAGAAAGCAGTATTTGCTTAGTAGTATAACTTTCACATTTATTTTTAAAAAAGGCAGCTCCAAGAAGTTCAATACTTGTAGCCAATAAAGAATAATCTAGTTATAGTTCCATCTACAAAATACAGGTGTTCTGAATGACAGTTACTTTTAAAGGGAAAAACCCCATCATTTTACTGAGGAAGCACACTGTACAGAGTCTATTTGAGTATTTTCATAAAGGCATTATTAAATACATTGTAGTACAGGCACTAGCAGTGATGTTTGTATTTGTAATTTTTTTCATGTTAATCTGCTGTTTTAAAGGCACGTGCAGGAGGGAGCTCGTGACAGACTCGACCAACTGTGGCCTTCGCACTTAACAAAGAGGTACTTTTTTTCAAAACACAAATGTAACTTGCACTTCGGTGTAAAAATACATAATAGAAATTATTTTGATACCCTTCCTAGTTTTGCACATGAGGAAATCCAAGTGGAATTACGTCATGAGGGATGTAGATCTCTGGTAGCAGACACCCATATTCCAAAAATATACTTGAATTTAGAAACTGAGAAAAGAAAACCCTCTCAGAAAGTGGCAGTGGGCTCTTCCACGGGATGTGCTATAGAGTAAAACTAGGCTTGAGCTTGTATTTGTATCACAAATGAGGAGATCCTGGATCCATACAAGTAAGTAAAAAACACTATATTTAAACTCACCAACAGAAATCCATTTTTGCTGCTTTCCAGAGAAGAGTGTTAGCTGTCTACCACTCAAAAAGAATTTGCACTTACCTTTTGTTTTTGTGCTCAGCCGATAATCTCTGACAAGATGAGGCTGTGACTATCAAAACGCTGCCCAGCCAGTGTTGCTGCTCCTGTTACGTATCGGTCAGAAGCTTAAAAAGATCCCAGGTCCCTTTGTACAAACCTGAGCTGTGAGACTTGTATGTGACACGAGCAGCAGCTGGTGCTTTATGAAAGGTAGGTTGTTGCCAAGCTCTGGGGAGAGCTACCACCTCCTCTCCCTTCAGCTCTGCTAAAGGCTGCTATTGAAGGTGGGAGAGACACTCGGTGCCAGTGCAGCTGGAGTTGCTGAACGGGTCTTGCAGGTGGAAGGGCTCCCTTTGCTTTTACGACCAACGAGGTCAAAACTTACATCATTTGCTATGCGTAGCTTTCCTCAGTAACAGCACCGGATTTTCTCTGACCTTTGGAGGATATCGTCATCAGCCTTAAAGTATTAGCTAATACACTGCATCACCAAGTTCTGATTTTAAATAGAAACCTTTATTTACATTATTATTAACATCCAAACACAAAAATCAGAAGAGCAGTAATACCTTACAACCAACTCTTTTATAAATCAGTTCCCATGGTTTTTCTGTTTTGCAACATAAAGATACAAATATTTCAAGCAATACTTATAATGTAAACTAAACTTAAATGCAGTTCTCAATACTGTATGCCTTCTCCTGAGAATTTTTTTAAATATTGCTCTCAGAATTACATGGTTTCATACTCGCTGTATCGTTCTGTCATCTGGTAGTCTGCACAGAATTTCTAAAATAAAATGTGTGCGAATTGGTACAACATTCAAATAGTTTTGTCTTATGACTGAAAAATGGTCCTGATTTTCTAACTTTAAAAGTAGTATTTTAGGCCAAGATTGGAAAAAAATACTACATACGAATTTTACAAAAAACATGGTTCCTGTGATCAAAAGAGCAACAGAGACAGGTAGCAAAATGGCGCTCATTACGCAGCAGTGAACAGCGGGGGCTGTACTAGCTAATTGGTCTCTTACTGCTGAAAAACCTTATACGGGCTGGTTTTTTTAAAAAACATTCAGAAAAATCTGCTGCTATAGAACCAAACCAGAATTGATGGAGATATTAAATGTCAACTGCAGTAGGCAAGATTTTCAAACTAGATGTAGTATTTAGGATTAGTGCTGCCAAGAAAGATGTCATCAATGCATTTCAAAAATGCCCCCCTCCACCCTTAATCAAGTTTAAACTAAAATTCTTTGGATTCAGCAAAAAAGTAGGTACTGGAAAGCTCCAACATTCTAAACACAGATGATAAAATGATGATCCTCTCTACCATCAGTCAGGTACCAGTTATACATAGATGTATAAACAGACTCACATTTCAAAAAAATTAAGAGGGCACGATGTATAAAGTAGGGTACAGTCTAAGAGCTCACCTAATGAAAGCAATCAGGGTTTGCAGTTTCCATCAATGTAATGAACAACTACAAAATATAAAGATTGTTCTACTCTGATTTGATATAAAAAGCAAGGGATCGTTCAGTAGGCAGCACTTAACACATAGATATGTTCTAAGAAATAAAAAAGAAGATAAAAGTTCTTTAGGCTTTTAAAAGGTCTGTGTTAGAAAACACACATGAATTGGACTGAAGGTTTCACATAAATAGTGTCACCAGATCTGTATACTCAGCACTAATTGCAGAGACAGGGTTGCAGAAAGTAGATTGGTTGAATCTACGTTCCCTTTGGACCACAACTGGCTGTATGCTAAGGATGAACTTTTGGAGAATATTTCCAGTTAAAGTTATTTCTATTAAAACGGAAGATCACTGAATATTCTGAACAATAAAACCACCTCTTGCTTAAAGTACCGAAAGAAGCAATCAAGAACACAGACTATTTTTTTTACTCACTTGGGAGAAGTCAGTTTTCCATTACACAGTGAACAACAGAACAGAAGCACCACATATCTCAAACATGCCTGGGTCGTCCCTGATGGAAGTTTAGAGATTTGACTCGTTCTGACTGCCTGAAACTGGAAAAACTGCCAAGGGGTCTTCATTTCAAGGAACTAAAATCGCAGGGCGGGGGGAAACCTATCAGCAAATAATAAGAATAAATTTGTAACCAGACTTAAATACTGATATGAGAGAAACCTGTTTAGAAAATACATTCATTGCTATTAGAACAATCCATTGAGGTGCAAACATTTGGTTACAGTGTGGCTTAATATCCTTAAAGATTTCTGGATGTCATGTAACAACAATCATTTTTCAACAGACTTTTTTGAAGAACATCTAGAGTTCATTAAACTTGACCAAAAAGACACAGTCCAGATTCATCAGCTGAAAAGGCAACATGTTATAGAAAGGCATGACCATCGTGAGAAGTCAGTAACATCTTACGTTGCAGAGCCTTGTTATCAAATTGCCTTATGTAAAAAGAAATGTAAGAAAGTGCTCACAGGTGGAGAAAGCATTTAACAACTGGTCTTTTATAAAAAGCTATATGTTAAAGATGTAAAAATAAATGAAGTATTGAAGACCAAAGAAGAGAAAGATGTGGGCCAAAGTCACCCAGCTTCAAAGTTATTAAATTTAATCAAAAACAAAACCAAAAAAACAACAACAACAACAAAAAAATCTATTTGGACCTCAACTACACGGAGTTTACAGAAATCAATTTTGTTAAATATTTAGCTTCACAAACTCTGCAAAAATGAGTTAGTGACCTACAAAAGTCATATATATAATACATTATCTTAAAGATCATATTTACAAAATTTATTCACAAAAAGACAGCAAAATTCTGATTCAGACTGCAGTGCCTTGCCTTGAGTTTTCTGAAGTTATTTTCAAAAAGATGAAACATTATTGCTCTAATTTTCATACACAGAAATCATTACATTATGCAGTCTTTTCAAATAATTCTTAAGAGATTGTGTTTGAGAAGGAACACGAGTACACCCTACCTTCATATGAAGTCCTTATCACAGATATTGCATTAATCCATTATATAGTCTTTTATAAAGTGCACTCAGCTGCACATCAATATGTAAATATTAGTCACAATTGTGTTTAAATAATTTAAATTTATTATCTTCTCTTTCTACCCCTTGGCTTCAGTGGACAGGATTTTGGACTAGTATGTGCCAATTCATTTTGCACTGCTACTTTGCTTGGGAAATCCTGACTCTGGGGGTAAGAGATTAAAAGCAGCATTTATATTCAGGAATTAATACAAAAGAGTCAAGGCTAGGAACTACATTCTCTGTCAGATATTGTTACTAGCGAAATCAGAAAATTCTTACCCCCATGACTTCTCCAGGCACTTCTGTCTGCCTGTAGTTGAAGGGCTTTGGAGAGCTACAGTAAGTGGGTAAGGTATGCCAGGAGTCAACCCATCCTCTACTAAAATGCCATTGCCAAATTCACATTGCTAGAGGCAGAGCGCCAAAAATATTTCTGACCTTTTTTGTACACCACAATATACAGTAATACAGAGACTGCTTCTACTAAGATGTATTTTTGTTGGGTTTTTGTTCTGCTTTGTTTTTTTTCCTCTGAACTAAGTAACTTAGGACATCATGGTGATAAACAGGAAAATCACTTTTTTCTGTAAGGCCAGTACTAGTTGCTGTAAGGAATGCGTAGCTTTCCTTTATAACACTAGTGCATCATTAATACAGCGCATTCTTGTTTGAAGATCTGGTTCTAGGTGTCAGCAGTATTTCTGTTAAAGAAAAGAAAAAAAATCATCATCAGAGAAAATAAAATTTGCTGAAAAAAATGGTCAGTATACTGTATTTTGAAGAGGCAAGTACTGACAGTCAATTTCTAAGCAGAAGAACAGCATGTTAGTGTTCCGATTTCAAGATAAATTTGTAGAAAAGAAATGCTGTCCTAGAATTTCCTGAACAGATTATTTGAGTATCCTCACTGCATGACACATGGGTTTGGAAAACCTGACATTCACCTTAATTTTGCCCTCTTTATAATAGGTACTTGTTGTATCAGAGTTGTCCAATACCTTCCTTCGCCCCCAGAAGTCCTCAGTTTATTTTGGCTGCTTCCTTAGGTAACTTAGACAAAATTTCATGAGGTGGTATCTACTTCAATAAATCTATCTCAATATTACATTTCTCATCCCTTGGTATTTTGTGGAAAGATTACAGCAAAAGTGTATTTAGTATTTCAGCCTTCTTGGCAGTGCCTGTTATTAGCTCATTTTTCCCTTACATAAGGGGCCCAGGTTTTCCATAGTCTCTTCCTATGCACGCAGAAGCTATTCTAAGGTATTACAAGGGTAAGTGTCATCAGCTTCTGCCAGAAGAAGGATACTGTGCTACCAGGATTCTTGGTGTGACTCATGAGAGCTGTTCTGTATAATCTACATCTGCTAAAGATGCTTTTCACAATCTCCACGTTTTGCGCTCTGGAGTTTCTCCAGGCTCAGAAGTATTTAAGTATCCTTTGTGCAGTTGAAGCCTTGATCCTACCTATGATACTGCAAAGCTAACAGCTACTCACAGCATATAGCTTGGGTTCATCAGGGATTTGATTTAAATATCATCAGAAATAAGGTATCTCTTAGGACATACAAATGGTAGGTCCACAGATGTGAATACACACAGGATAACCGACCACAGGATTGTGTCAGAGGAACGGCTTGAAGCAAACTGTACTTAATGGGAAGAGAGTCAACAGATCTTTTCATTGAACTCTATGTACAACTTACCTGGTCTGGACCCATAGGCATCCCTGACAGAGGCATGGTGTTAATATTCATCTGTCCAATATGGCTGCTGCTGCCATTCATGTGCATCATACTGTACGCTGCTGGATTACCTTGATGGCTGAACTGCTGCTGTGGGAAAGAACTGAAGCACAAAAGGACAAATAAAAATTACCTTCCACTTTGATATATTGCCTTCCATGCACCAGCTGTCAACGCATGAAAGATAAAACTATTTTTACATGTACTTGTTTCTACCTAGTATCTGTTTAACGTAGAAAGAGAAATTTCCCTCCCAAAAGGAATTTTGAAATTTCAGATGCGCACAGAAGTATGCATATGCATTTGCTATCGTAACGCTTTCGGAGGCGTCTGTTAGGGCTGTGCTGTCCATTGTAATACTATTCTGAACTTCTGTATTTCCCCCCAAGTTATTTTTTCAATATTCAAAGACTGAATGTTGCCTCCAATTACAAAGATGGCAGAGGTCCAATATGAATAAATGGAGCTAAGCATAAGATAAATTTAATGTCTATTTCCTAAACGAGAGCAGGATCAAGGTCAACAAGGATATTAGAGTTTTAATAATTTTTCCCTCTTCTGAATCCTTTTCCTACTACAAAGCTTCTACTTTCAACAAAAAGAAAGACAATTTTTGAGCTACAGCTTATAACTGTGAAGTTCACCTGCTCCTGGCCATGCTTCCCGATGGCCAGCCCTTCATCTCGGGGGACTGGTACATTGTTGCTGTCTGAGGATGCTGCATCATAGGGTTTTGGGAGGGTCCAATTCTTGATGACATCATTGGGTTGGGAGGGCTTGATACTCTGTTAAACGCAGGATCAGGTTGTTGGCTTATTCCTTAAAAGACGAAGGACAGAGAATATACTTCAGTTATCATCACCTAGTACTTTTAGTTTATCTTGCAATGATGGGAAGGAAAAAAGTCATCCTTTTTTGTAGAAGTATTTTCCATTTTTCAGAATGATTGGTATTTAGATAGTTTGGATTAATAATAAATGAAGAAAGGGAAAAGAAAACCAGACAGACGAACAAATAAACATGTTAGTACTAGTACCATAATTAGGTGGATAGGGGAATTGCTGTGGAGGAACTTGAGCCATTGGAGGGCCTGTCAAAGCACTATCCATGCTTCCTGAGGCAGTCACATTCGGTGGTGGACTGAAGGCCTGAGGCTGCTGTTGCTGCTGCATCATCATTGCCATCCTCTGTTGTCTAAAATGATGACTGATTAGCTCCCTGTTACGCTGAGCCACCATCTGAGCATTAAGAAAACCTTGCTGCTATCCCCCAAAGAAAAGAAAAATTATATTAGAAAACACTTTTACAAATGAAATCACATCAGAGTCAATCAAACCACCTACGCTCTTTCTAACTCTTTAAGAAGCAGCATATCCATCACCAGAACAGAGAGTTAAGAAAACCCACAGCCACTACAAAAATTATCAAAATATCAGACAAAGGCTTTCATTAAGTTGTCATTAGTGCTAAACAAATGATAAAGTAGATGAGCTATCATATCCTACGTGGAAAAGGCTATTGGCACATTGTATTGATAGCATGACCTAATGAACAAATCCCTCTGAAATCTCATGAGTAAGAGAGGTAAAAGCCCACTTTTTTTTAAATGTACAAGGGAAAAAAACAAAAAGGAATGCTGTGGAACCATGAAAGAAGGTCCAAATTCTAAACAGATGTGTAGAAGATGGGTCTATTTAAACTTACTGTTTCAGATGGTTAGTGTAATAATCACTTACCTGGGATCCCACCTGTGGCTGCATAACTGGTCTCATCACTGAAGTATTACCACTGACTGGATTTTCCATTTTCATTTCAAGCGCTTGACGGGTCTGATTCATAAACTTGAAAAAAGACATTTTAGCACTATTAGCTTGAAAATACCAGTATCTAAACAAAGTAATGGCAACCCCTCCAAAAAAGCATTCTTTACAGACTTCTTGAATCCATAAAGTGCGGTGGTTAATTTTTGCCTTGTCTGATGTACCTGAAGTAGCAAACCATTCGGTTAAGCAGCTCAGACACACACAAAAAGAAAAACCTTCCAAACAGTGCAGCACTAACTGGCTTCATTTTTAATTCCCTTGAAATTAGCACCTTTTAAGAATAAATACATAGCAGACTATCTATTTGTTCCAAATCATGTTTGGGGCAGAAGGGTATATAAGCACTAGCTTTGCTTAAAATAATAAAATTCTGTCTCCTTCCCTCTCCATCACAAAACCCCAAAGCCATATAGATTGAATTAGTGTCACAGAACAACCAAGAGAGTATTTCCTAAGGATTAAACAGTGCTATCCCATGTCACACAGCACTGTCTCAGTTTTGTGACTTCTATTGGTACATTGTGTTTGAATCCAGGACTGCATTTTCATATCGGGAATTCAATGCTGAAACCATGCAGCAGTTTTTTAAGCAGTGCTTGTAACCCAGTGTTAAGATCTATGTGGCTCTGTCTACTCTCTCACCTTTCATTCTAAGAAAACACCTAAAATGGCATCAAATCAATAAATGGAAAGCAAACCCGTATTTCAGTTAGCCCAAATGATTAGTTAGAAAACGTAGTGAAAAAGAAGTAACACTTCAGTTACAGGAGAAATGCGGCTGCCCATTTAATGATATCAGTGAAATTCAGAAAAAATACTAAATCCTAACATGGATAAACAGATCATCCAGAGCTACTTCATACAAGAGTACTGGTTTAGGTAGCAGTAAAGTTGTGTGCTGCAGGAACCTATCCACTCTGTAGCTAAGCAGGCTGATGAAGGAGAAACACTTGTCCTAATAAAGGTTCTTTCACTCCTACAGCCATCAGGCACTCTGTGAAAAAACACCGTCAAAATGAAAGATCTGTCCTTTCAATCATCTGCTCTAATGCCTATTTCCATACTCGTGAAGCAACACGCTTCATTGTGCACGTTATTCCATTCCCAAACAAGAAGAAAGTGTAAACGCAGGAGCGAAAGATTACCTGCTGCCCCTGAAGCCTCTGCTGGAGCTGCATGCGGAGCTGCTTTGGTGTACTGGTTCGAGGTCTCATCACATTTGCTCTAGGATGCATACTTTGAAGTGGAAAATTGCTCTGTTGGTTCATCTGATTCATCACTGAACTAAAGGATGGCTGTTGTCCCTGGATGTTACTAAAACCTCCTGGCATTGCTGCCCCTTGCCCTTGATAGGGCTGACCATATAATGAAGGCTTCTGGTCAATCATAACCGAAGGTTCCTGACCTTGAAATGAATCTTGTTTGGGTTCCAAAGCTTGTCCCTTCAACAGATACAAAAGTGTTTTCTACTAGCGATATATTCTTTAAGTAGGAATTCCCAAAGAAACAATAAAGCTAACACAGCATACAACCACCAATAGTTTCTTGGGCAGAAGACAGCATGGACAGCTTACTATTAGTTTTGTCTCCAGGCAAATCAAACAGCAAAAGTTAATAACAATACATTTTTTTTTAAATCAGTTCTGCTGCACACTGCTTATGTAGGCAGACCAGTACTGTTATTCAAGTCCTTCCACAATTTTAAACTGCTATTTGTACAAATGACAGTGCAATTTTGGGGTTTTCAGCAAGTTCCAAATTATTCACAGCATTTCTCTTTCCTCTTTGCTAGCCATGCAAATTCAAGCTGGAACAGGAGATGGAAGTGTCCTACACACCAGAACATCACTGCTAGTCAAGTATTTCATAACCCAAGCTCAGCTGACAATAGTTTACTAAAGAAACCCAACATAATTCTCTGCTTATAGAATTATAATGATTTACACCCCCTAAAAAAGCCCTATATACCAAGGCATATTACAATAAACTTAGATAAGAAGATGCTATTTTACGTTTTTGTAATGCACAAGAAATTTAATCAATACCGAGTTTCTGCAATGAAAATCACTACTCACTGTAGATGCTTCCAAAGGCAGATTTAGGAAAATGAAGACAAGGAAGTGAGGAGACAGAGTGACTGAGAAGGCTGTCTTCACTTGCTTTTCAAGTAACAAAATAATATAGATTTTTGGAAAATAAATGGCCAAAATGTGTTTACTTACTTGGTTTACAAGATCAGGAATTCCTAATGCTCTGTCAATTTCTTCCAGACCTGTGACATCCGTATTACTCAGCAGCGTGTGCAGCTGATCCAAAAGTGCCCTTTCATCATTCTGGCCTTCCATATTTGGTGCCGGACATAAGAGGTCATCCAAAGAGTTTCTAACTAATTGTCTATAAATATAAAAACATTACAACCATTACAGACTATGAAGGCGTATACACAGCTTTTATATAATATAGTGACCTGGAGATGATTAAGTACTATAATCACCAAGAAGACTGAAGTAAGACTTAATAACTTAAATCCCAAATTTAGGTCCTAAAATGTCCAGTCAACTGCCATGTATCCTTGAACACAAGTAAATTCTGTGTTCCCCTGGCTTCTGCATGTGTCAGAGAGACACGATTACAGATTTTCCCACCTCTTTTCTCCACGCCTCCCAACTCAAGCATTGATTGATTTTGTTAGCAATGCCTTTTGCGGAGCTGGGTTAAAGGTACCCAGTGTCATATCATCAGCAGAAACGGAAACAGATTCTGACTCCAATCTCTTATGTGCTACGTTAATTTTTTTCCACGTCTTAAATTCTTCTGACAAACAGTGAACAGTTGTATAAATTCTTCTGACAAACAGTGAACAGTTGTATTTAAACTTATTTAAAACCTTCCCCAATTCTACCTGTTTTGGGAACCCCGCGATGCTTGCTCCATGGACAGCATGTTGTCAGGCCATGATGCTGGCTGGCTAGATGGTCCTGGCTGTCCATACGGATTCACCCCCATGCCAATGTTTATCTCATTTGGCCCTGCAAGGAAAAACATTTGTGATTTTTAAAAACAAAAGGTGTCATCTTGCTCTCCCAGTGTTCACATAAAGCATTGTGGATGATCACGCAAATTGTCAAGCAGCTTCATGAGCTTTCCATTAGCACGTTTTAAAGTGTACACATATATAAATTCACACTCAAAATAATTTCAGAAATAGAATAGAACACAGATTTAAATATGACAGTGATCTAAAGCTGCTATCTTGTTAGAGCACAATTGCTATTTCTAACCCATAAGCCCCTAAAATAGGAACTTGACAGATACAGGAACATTACATACAGGGGGGGGGAAAAAAAAAGTTTTCTGGCCAATGAAATCTGGGTACTAGCAAATATACACTGGCATAGTAACATCAACAATGTGCATTTTAAATTCCAAAACAGGCAAATCAAAAGAAACAGAAGGTACTTAACAAGAGAACTGGTAACAGTCCTAGTAGCCTTCCATGATAAAAAAGGAAAAAAGGAATACCACTGTTTCAGCTCATTTTGAGCACATTAGACAGGACAATTTCAGCTCTAGGCTAAACCTTTGTTAGAGATATAGAAGAGAAAAAAACCCACAGGCTTTAAGACTCTCTTCATATTTTAGACATGCAGCTTATTTTCTCCCATGCAAATATGAATACTTGAAAGAGAACCTGTATTTGCAATGTGGTTTTATACGAAATTTGGATACTGCATGTGAGAATAATTTTGAAACACTTAAGAAAAACCTTTAACCTTTAACCCGCCCGCCCCCCCCCCCGATTACCAGGAAGTTAACAGCAAAAAATCTTCTATATCAAGTGCAATGAATTAAATTAATCAGAACACTAACACTAGTATCTTCAAATACAATCGCAGATGGCATTTAGTTCCTGGAATTTAGCAGAGAAGTACTGCACTAAAGAAGCACACAGAGATTAACTCAGCATGAATTATCTGTACATGAAACACACAGGTATCATCAGAAGAAAACAAAAAGAACACCAAAAAGTCATCATATGTCCCAGTCTTTACCCCAAAAAGCCTTTGGATGAGAAGGTAGTATTCTACCAAAACCAACAAGATTCTGATGATGAATGCTTACTGACAAACTAGTGAGATTGGGCTAAGTAGGACAATAAAAAAGTAAAGAACTTACTCATGTGAATCATCTGCTGTTGTAGCATTGGTCTTGTACCAGGTATGCTATTAGAGCGAACGGGCAGCCCAGCCATAGAGCCACCCCCCGCCGTGGCTCTGGGAAGGGACGCACTGAACTCAGGTCCTGGCCTTAGCAGCGAAGCAGAACTTGTAGGTTCCAGTCTGTTCGCCTTGGAGTTTGGCAAACCCCAGTCTTCTGACTGGTGCTGATTCATCACTACATTTCTGTTGGGAGCGCTTGCTACAATGAAGAGCAGAAAATACAATAATTTTTCATCTAGGAGACATCACATATTTTGGTTTTAGAATTACTTTTATGGGGTTTTGTTTTACCAACAAGGACACCTGCCGATGACAGAGCAATTCACTGAATTCTTACAACAGCATCTAAAGCTTACCATGCCAAGCTCTAAATCACCAAACAACTATATTAATATAAATATATTTTAAAATATTAATGATTGTCATCATGACCTCTTCTTGCTTCTATATATCAAAAACAAAATAGTAAATAATTTAACTACTAAACAAAAGTAAAGTCCTGATAACAATACACGCATGGTAAACAGTTATGTTCTTATAATTTTAGCTAGGGATAATAATTTAAAAGTATTTATATGCTGATGGTAAAATTAATATTCTTTAATGTTAAGGTTTCTTCTAACCAAAATTCATATTATAATCTTGCAATATTTTTTTACATAAGAGGAGATCTATTTGCACACAATCAACAGACCCAGATTTGCTCCAAAATTTTCCTGGTTTTCAATCATTCTTGGACTTCCACCCATCAGGTTCTGCTTTTGTAGCATGGAGAACGCACTGACATTCCTCACTGGAGCACCTGAGCCCACAGGGCTGTCTAAAGACATGGCTCTGTTGAAAGCTGGGCGGGCAGTCTGCACAGACTGGGGACTCCTCATACCTGTTAAAGAATTAAAAGATGCATGCAACTGTACGTTTTAAATAGAAAGTACCATTAATGACTTGAATAAATAAGTGTGATATAGGCACTTATATTTGACCTTAAACAAGCCATGGTCTCGCTACACAAATCACATTTTGAGTACATAGTTAGGACATGTAACAGGAAAAGCCAAATGCAGTTCCCTTTGGCCCTAGACATAAAAAGATTCATTTGAATTTGTGTAATGAACCATGTGTTTAACATTTTGAAACACACTAGTATTACAGACTCCTTGATACATCTGAGTGGACTGCCCAGCCTTTGGATAACTCCGACACAGAGACAGAAACAAGTCAAATAGTTCTGTTTGGATCAGGTTGAACCCAAATGCAGTGTGTTCCTGAGCACAGTGTACTCAGTGGACTAGTTAACCCAGAAGTCACTGTGCTCCACAGCCATCAGCGTCAGTGGCCTTAGGTGTTCTCGTACCTGTTTTTACATTTATCATTATCCATGCTACACTTCCTTAGGTTACCTCAGCAATCTATTGCCCTATATAATCAAGAGACGACCAACATTATAAAAGGAAGTGACAACTGCAATAGCTGGTCTACTAGCAAGGTTATCTTTCCCTCCTACTCGGCTTCTTACTAAGGAAGGGCACCCCTTTCAATGTCGAGGAGTACTGGTTAGAATTTGCAGGCCACAAGATGTTTTCTTGCATAGAATAAGCGGGAAATCAAAAGCTTGCCACCAATCCCATATTATTTCCCTAGTCATCTGTACGGAACAAAAATTCTCAATTTTAATTTGCAACTCGCACAACATTTTTCCTGCTGTCTCGTCTCCGAAAAATGCACATTATACAAACCCAGAAGAAACCATAAAAGAAGGAACTGAAGTTAACATTATTCATTATGTATATAGTAGATGAATGCTGTCGAGGCAGCTAGTAGTGTACAGAACAGATTGTGAAAGCAGAATTAGCAATTCTGCATTACATTTGTCCTTGAAGATGCAGGAGATCAAGAAAGTGTTCTCTAAGGATTTGAAGATGCATTATGTTTACATCAGGTAAGAAGAAAATCCTAATTTTAAAACCAAAGCTATATTAGATTGAAATTCCTTACCCAATAGGGTATTTCCTTGAAATAATGCTTGCTTTGTTCCAAGGTTATTTCCATTTGCAGACATAGCATTATTGTAAAACTCTGAACTAGTCAGATCACCTAGAATTGCATCCAAATTATCCAAGTCTCCACTCATCTGAAAAAGACGCAGTAAAAAAACAAGGTTATTTACTGTCATATGGCTATCCTTCAGCTTTTATTTAGCTCCTTGCTGATCTTAAAAGCTATAACTAGGAGACAGTTGTTTTAGTTCACTGACAGTACCCTGAGCTATCTCTCCATTTCCAAAGAATTTCAGATACCATTTAGCTACATTTTTTTAGACTATTCTGCTTGGCTAATTTTGAGAATTAGGAGAAACTGGAGGTACACATAAATAAAAAGAAAAGCACCTTTGAATATAAACATTTCAGTCATCAGAAATTACAAAGATGAAAACACTAATGAAAGCAAACATCATCAATAATGTGTACCATTCAGTGATAAATAACGTATTTGTCACACACAAAAAGCCTAATCTGATCACTCATAAACACAACACCACATGAAAAGTACCCACAGATTTTTCTGGTCAATTGGAGCCCTAATCTTCTTTAAAAATTTGTCGTTAAATCAGACGCAGTTTTAACAGAAAAAGAATTGCATATATAATGGATTCATATCTTCACAGAACAAGCTTCTCTGAAAATATTAATTAGATCTCAGGAGCAAGGACTGAAACTACGCACTGGGTACTATGACACAGTTGTTAGTGACTTTTCCATAAGTGGTTCTCACAAAATGTTATAGAGTGTTTCATTTATAGTCACCCATTAGCTAGTATCAAAATTGTGCAGTAATTTTTTTATTTACATAGTTCTTACTGACTTGGGAAATTCAAGTTTGAAGATATAAACACGTTTTCAGTAAACTCTGCCATACTGACCACTATTATTTACTTTGAAGAGGCTCCAAATGTGAAGTGGGAACTAAATACAAACAAAATATTATCTACACTCTATCATTTCAAGAACAGTTGTCTCTAACAAGCGTACTGCTGCTTTCAGGAGAGCTGTTCCATGGTGATGTAATTTGCTGTATCATAACATTTCTTGGAATTTCAACTCTAGAAACATTGAAACAAATAGATGAACATACTTTTATTTGAATGCTGAATAGATATGTATTTGGAAAAACATTTTTCCTCATTTAAGGAAAAAAAAAAAGAGTGCTAAATCAAATGAATGAACTAAAACCAATCTATAGCTGTTTTAAGTGTTACCCATTTTTGTGTGTTGTTTATATATTCAAAACGAAATCATGCAAGTTTAACCTTTCGCTATTGTATTGCCAGCTAGTTAGACAGGCAGTTACAGCTCCATTTCCTAATAAGCCACAAAAATAAGCATGTGCCATGTGAAATAGCACATGTTAAAGATCTGATTTTAAGGAGTAATTTGTAAATATATGCTACCTTAATCGTACCATAACTTAAAGATAACATTAGTGCAGGACTTCAGTCCAGCGCATTGGGTTACATACACATCCTGTAGTTCTCTTTGTGCTTGTGCAGTTACAATAAAACCTGAGCATACAGTTTCACACCATTTGCAAGAACTTACTTAGAAACATTTACACACACATAATGAAAAGCATGTTCTATTTTTAGCCAGTCACTGTAATAAGAAAATATTGGTTTGTTCACTACCATCATTTTACATTATACTGTACCTCCTCTGTTGGTTCCGTTTTTATTTTCATCTCTTTTTCTTGACTAGAAGTAGGAATTGTCGAACTACTGCATTGTCCCGTTCTATTATCCAGACTTTCTACCTTAGGCTTCAACTCTTTGGAAAGTGGGTCCTTAACATCATCTTTATCTAACAGGTATCTTAGTAAAGCATTGTTTTCCTTCTTCTTTGGGCTCAGTTGTTCCTGTTTGACAGTGCCTTCTCCACAGGGGGCTGCATTACTAGCATCATGATACGTGTCTTTACCAGTAGCTTCAGCCGTGATCTTGGCTACCTCTGCAGGAGAATTACCATTCTGCAACAATTTATGCAAAATCCTATGCTTCTCTTGCAGGAGTGACCCATGCATGTTTGAGGAGGAAGATACCCCTCCAGATGTTGACGAGGAAACTCCAGAAGGACTGGTAACATTGGTAGAAGATTCTTTACAGTTTGAGTCTAAAGGCGAGTTTGATGCTGTAGAATGTCCTCTTTCATCTGAGGAGCACGTGAGTAGCTGAAGCAGTTTTTTATGCCCTTTGCTTTCAGATGGTCCCCTCTGACTTTCAGATGCCTCCAGATTCCCCTCTTTACTATCTTTTTCACTAAGGAGATCCCTGCCGTTTGACTGGCAGATGGAACTTTCCACTTGGCTTTGTTCACAATATAAGCCAGAAGGGCTTTTAGAGTCCTGGGTACTCGTTTTACTTTGCTGAGCTATGCTCATGTTTGGGGAATTGTCCAATTTTGGACCCGGTGAAGAAAGTGTTGATAAAAGAGAAGTTCCAACACCCTCACTAATGGCTTGAAGAGCACTAAGAGAACTGCTAGAGAAAGTGTTGTTGCTGGTGTTGCTGGCAGATCCCATTGGAGAGTGCATACCTGTATCACATGACAGAGATCAAACTTATTAGATACACTACAGTACTGTCTGTATCTACATTTCCTTTGGATTATGACTGTCACATTGAGTTAATTATTTTAAAATAATGTTTTACCATGAAATTAGGTATACTACATTGAAGTAACTCATACAAGGTCATACATAACTGTTAAAAAGGGTGAAAGATGGAATTCAGATAAAAGTGAGAAAAAATAGCTTAAAAAATACAGAGCTTATAGCAAAAATAAAATACCTGTAACTGGAGAAAACTGGTGTGAACTCATTTTTGGACTCCCTCGATTCCTAGGAGATATCATTAGATTCTGTTGGTTGGAAGTTAAACCAGGACTACCATGTGGTGGGCTACTTATATTTAACCCGTAACTGTTGTTCTGATAAGCAGAGGATTGCATTCCGGGTCCAGAGTTCACTGGCCCCATATTACCAGGGCCTCCGTATCGAATGCTGCTCAGCTGACTCACTGCGTTGGGATCTCCCATACCATAGTTCCTGCTCTGCATTGGCATGCCTTGACCAGGTGACACGTTCATAAGGCCACCAACAGAATTTGTGTTTCCAGCAACAGGTGTTCTGATGTTTTGCCCAACTGCATTAGGATTTGGCCGATATCCATTTTGTTCTCTGTAAGTTCAACAACACCCCCAGAAACCCCAAGAAAATAAATTAAAACCTTATTTGAAATCAAGTGCTACAAAGACAGAATAACATTATTAAATAATGGCAGAATAACATTATTAAATAATTTAGGCACAGGAAGTTCCGTCTGAACATGAGGAAGAACTTCTTCACTCTGAGGGTGACGGAGCCCTGGCTCAGCAGGAGGGTTGGACTAGATGACTCACAGAGGTCCCTTCCAACCCCTACCATTCTGTGATTCTGTGATTCTGTGATTTTTCAAATACTTTTTTTAAAAAAGCAGTGGGATTTTAAACTTCCACAAAAGCAGAACTAAGCTATGCCACTCATCTATTCATTACAAAGTGCCTAGTCCTTTAGGTGATTTGAGTTACAAGTACGCACAGTATCACCGCTTCAAAAGGCTTTCATCAACAGTCATTAGTCAGATTTATCAGCTTAAACATCTTCCTCCTTCTACTCCCTTCCTGAATCAATGCATGACACCATTCTACTGTGCACACTAATGATGCCCTGAGCAATCTCAGCTACTCATTTTTCAGCATCTGGAGGCAGTTTAATGCCAGAAGTAGACAGATTCCCTCCAGAGTGGCAATTCAATTACTCTTGCAATCAACAAGAACAGGTCACAGGAAGTGCTGTTTAAGGTACATTTAACTTTGAGTCATCAATGATGCATCGGAGGGGATTTTGTTGTCTTTTTAATTGGTCTGCAATTAAAAAGAGTATGATAAAGTGTGTAACTAAGCATTCCTATTTTCAGTGTTTCATCATTACAAATGTTAGCCCAAAAGAATAATGAATACATAATACAGACTCCACGCAGGTTCTGAGGAAAAACCTCTCTTTTGACTGCAACTGTCTTTCTGCCACACAGTTGAGAGCATCAGTGTTAGGTTGACACATTTATTTATATGCCATGCAACTCGCTTCTCAAGTTATTCCTCCTCTGTTTGAGTTTTAATCAGATAAGATATTTTGGTATACTATTTTTTTTAGGTATCTTCAAGGTCAGGTATATTTTTAAAAGCTATGACACTTAAATGTCACACAGATACCACTGATTTCACCTTTGAAGAAAGTGGGTAGACACAAATCCATGTCGGTCATTAGTTACAGGATTTCGAAATAGTTTACTCTTTGTTTGCGCTGTCACTATAGTACCATCCGCTAAAGAAAACCGATACAGTGGTGTTTCAGCATGACCTTGTGTATAAGCTGTAAAGGAAATACAAAAATACAGATCATATTTAAAAACCTAATAATTATTAACATGCACTTGATTGATTTTTACAACAACCTACAACCTACATTTGCTGAAGATTTAAAAAAAAATTTAAAAATATATAAATAGTAAAAAAACATATACCCAACACAGATATTCAGAAAAAGGAAGTATTCCACTTTCTTCTAAATTAGTAGAGGGAAAATAAAAGCAAACAAGATTATTTTGATGCTGCAGTATCTTGTGCTCACTATGCACAGCTGGCAAAGTTCTACGTTTCATAACAGACTTCCAAGCCCAGGTTAGTAGGTTTCCATGGCTTCTCCTTGGGGAGAAGGACTAATCAGCACTTAAATATTAATTGCACTAAAATATACAGGAGAAATGAAACTTGGAAGCCTTCAGATGAAGTACTTTAAAGTTTAAAAGTTCAGAAGCTTTATTTCAATTAAAAAAATTGTGGAAACCATTGCTTTTAATCTGAGCTCCAAATTTCTTGTTAATTTAGGACTTATTTAATCAGTTAAGTCAAAGAACTTCCAATGGAATGGAAACTCCATTTCTGCCAGTATGAGTTTCTCTTTATTCAGTATTCTCTCTATTTGAATTACTTCATAAAACCTTCAAAAAGACTACAGTTCAGAAAACTTAGAAAATGTCACTTTTCTTCCTGAAGACAGTGGCTGTACTTCACTTTATCTATCAAGGTTATCAAATTACCATTACAAAATATCTAACACTGGAACACTGAAAATATTTTGAACCCTTGTGCCTTGAATAAGAAAAAGGCGTCAACACAACTGTTACCACTTTTAGTGAGCTATCCTTTAAATAAAGAAAGGATTAATTGAAACAAAAAGCAAATCAAACTAATCTTAAACAAAAATAACAAGCTAATGATAATTAAGGATTACATGTTATTACAGAAATATAGCTATCACTGTCACTGCTAGATCCATCTGTGGAAAAACAGCTTACTTCAGGCTCCCAGATCATGCATCTGGTATTTTCCATGAAAATTATCAAAACAGACACATTAGAAAAACAAAATAGCTTCCAGCAGAATTCCTATTTCTCAAGAGGTGATCCTCCTTCAGCTTGTAAATATGAGTCACAGCAATTAACACTAACAAAAAATACAAAAATAAAGAACACAGGCAGAATTTAGCATTTTTGTTTTTCAGAAAAAAAATGCAGCCACCGGGAGAAGCAGTACGACCCAACCTTGCAAGCAGACTTTACCTTCATGATAGTGGCGTTTGTTTGACCATGACTGTCCATCATTATGGCATAAGAACCTCTGAATACACCGACGAATTATATCTTCAAAGCCAGGTCTCATGGAAGACCGTAATGAGTTTGTATCGATGTTGACAAGTTTGCCTGTAAGAGGAAAGAAAATACACAAGTGAACGTCTTTATGACAATGCCAATCCTTTGGTATAAATATGGTACATTTCAGAAGGCTCCAATATCACCATTTTAATTGTTCATCAGCCTAACACTAGATTTTAAGTATGTAGAAGATACATTGATGAATTATCTGCCATATGAGAATATGATGCTGCTTGTTAAAACATCAGTATTCAAAGGGATTTAGATAACTGAATAGGTAGAAGTTAAGCACCCACAGGTTAATGCCAGAGCTTTAGAGAACAGTAACTTTAGTCTCTGGTTACAGGCTCCCAAAGGATACACACAGAGTAACATTTTCAAAAATACTGACCAACTACATCCACAAATGAACATCAAACACTAACTAGCATCTGAAAAAGCCCTGTCTAGGTTATATAAGTAATTCAATTTAAACATGAGCATAAAACACTTCAAACATTAGCTCATGTACTGTATAAAAATACCAGCATTCCAAAGAACTTTCATTAGCTTCAGTTACGATTTAAATTATTTCTTACATGTAAAGGACAGCACAATGGCAACCATTTGAAATGCTGCCAAGTTAAAACACAAGTAATGCTTTATACCAAGCTGCCAAACAACAGCATACTAGCGTAGAGACAGAAAATGCGTCCCACAGTTGTTATTTTACCCACTGCCACCAATGGCATACTGCAAAAACCAGTTGGGAATTCGCACTATGAATTCTGCTAGTCACTACAGATACACAATTCATTTACTGACTTGATTTATTTAAAACAAGAGCACAAGGACGAAAACAGATACCTTCATCTTGGGTACATTTCTCACCTGAAAGATCATGTCTTGTAATAAAGCTCTCCGGATTTGTTAGAAACACCCTTTCTGCAGTTGTAATACGACGTGCCACACAAATCATGCAGGACTGCAAATCTGTATTTAAAAAAGAATGTTTCTTCTTTCATTTCTCTCCTGTTTTATTCTATTAAAGCACCTAAGAAAATAGCTGAAGCATCTTTCATTGTTAAAATGGAAGTGAAAGCAGTAAGAATTGAAGTTTTTGCATTCTGTTCCTACTTACTTAAAAATGGATCGCAGAAGCTAGAGACTTCGTAACACATTACCAAACACTAAAAAGCTTTCCTAAGATTTCTTTTGTGCACAGTAATTCCACAAAATTTCCTACCTTCCCCCTCCTCCATCATAGCTCTTGGCTGAGATAAAGCAAAGCACTGCATTGTTTCATATCTTTGACGTATATCCTGGTGGCTGCCTACATCATCCAAAAGATCATGAGAGGTTTTCACCATCATCCGGCAATTGAACGTATGACTCTTCTGTCTAGGTGTTTCATTGGTCCAAGCAACTCCATTAACTTAAAAGAACACAGTAAGAATTTATAAAGATTTTCAGATAAAATAAATTCATAAGGGATTTTTCTTAATTTAGATACCTTGTTTCTAGATTAGAGAGATTAAAGACTATTTTAAGACACCTTCTCAGTATACCATTAGTTTAATATCTTGGTATAAAATAGTAAGAGAGATGAAAAGTCATTCACACATTTAAAAAACACGCAGATCCCTCAGCTACTCTTGTGGCATGAGGAAACGTGTTCCTTTAGTATCCGTGGTTTAAATGACAGCTGAACAAATTACAAAGGCTAAAGTACGCACATTCATTTCTGGTGGCGTGCTTTAGTAAGAACACAGTAATATTTTTCAAGACTAACATTTTTTAGTTAAATATTCTTTATATAAGTAATTTGTTTTGAAAGGTTATCCATTACAAGTTGGTTTTCTCCTCTCTGATTGATTGTTTTCAAATAGCCTAGTAACAGTGTAGTAAGTCAGCTTGTATTACCTGAAGACTTAGGTAAGTTTTTAAGAAAGTCCTTCCGGTCCTCTTCATGCAAGATACCATAGACACTTGTATTAACCAAATCTTCTTGTTTATATTGCAGATACTGTGTGACATTTTCTGACACAAATACTATGTTCCCATCTCGATTTACAACAAACAGGAAACCGTCCAATGCCTAAATATTAACATGACAACATATCACATATGACACATCACCTAATTCTGAACATAATTTAGTCTAAAAGTTATGTGGGTGATAAATGTCAAGTTACAATACATGCATTTCTTTGCAAGGGTTGAGCTGAAGTTTTAGATTTTTCTCTGTGGAAAATTGTGTCTGGTCAGGAATGATTTCAATATTAAAAATTAATCTGTTCATTTGCTATTCCATTGAGCTCTTTCACAGTGATAACCAGCTTTCTTTTTTCATTCTTTCTTTATTTGAACACAAGATAATGAATTTATAACATTATTTCAAGAGATGGCAAATTGAAACAAGAAGAAATTCAGTAGAAACAAGCAGTAAGACATGAACATGAAGACATTTCCACCAGCGAGTGACGAGATAAGAGGGTCTCTTCGTATCTTAAAATACCGTATTATCTTAACTGAAAGAAAAATTAAGTGTCTATGTAAAACAATTAAGCTTCAGAAGTGCTTATAATGGACTTGTAAATATGGCATTTGTTTTCTAGGCATAAAGAAAAGGTATCCGCCACGTACCCTTTTTTACAGTTATTCTTAGGTTTTTTACTGGATGGCAACATTTGTTTAAAATGCTTCACAATTTTGAAACACAAACCCAATACACAACACAAACCTCTAGTCTTCGCAAAAACTCATCCATTTATTTTAATGCCTATCCACTAAAAAAGCAAAATATTCCTCGTGTTACTAAGCCCTGCTTTAATAGTAATTCACTAATGACTGCTGGAGAAAGTAAAGCACAAGAATACAAGAAAAAAACAAATGCTATTCTTCTCTTTCCTTCTACAAAGCATTTCAGCAAAATTAAGAAATGTGACAGCATTTATTCTTGACCCTTTCAAACATTGTTCTGTATAGTTCTTGCATACTATTTGTTACTATAGAATTGTAGGCTTTATTGTCGTATTTTCACCTGTCTTAAGCATTTGTTTCCACAGGTACTTACCAAGGCCTAATTTGTACTTACCTGTAATAAAAGAGGTCCCAATGAATCCTTATCAATAACTCCTTGACCAGTAGAAGACACATCAGCTTTCTGAACATCATCATCATTAGAAACTGCTTTTCCTGAAACCCAAAAGATACACTTCAGTCAAGTAAATTTTCACACGAAGATCACATTTTAGCATTACAAGACAGATTCCAGGAAGCGTGTGAGTAAATGCAAAAAAAAGCATGAATGAGAGAGGAGGTCTCTCATGTTCTTAGTTGCTTAAGAGTAGAAAAAAAATGTCATGGCTACATAATGCCAAAGTCTTTGCTCACATAAATTGACTTTACAGTTGAAGTTGACAAGATCCACTTGTTTTGTGAACAATATTTCTTCTGCTGCTTTTGGGATCATTTGTCTGATGATGCTTGCTGAATCTTTCAATGGCTGTTAAACACACTGATTATACATACCTCTTCCTTGAGGTTTTATTTTAATTTATTTTTATGATCTCATCATCATTGGTCACAGTCTTCAGATACCACCACCATTGTTCTACAAAAAGGCTTTGGCTCATGTTAATATATGCGTGTGTGTATGTATATGTATGTGTGTGTGCATGTATATAATAAAATCATACTCTAAGAATCAAAGTATCCTAAATAAATTGATTGCAGAAGAAGGTGGAATGAGAATCCACAACAAGCAGCAGAATTACAGAAAACAAACTGTAAACTTTGTTCTACTGTACTTGCTGGCTGGCTAAGCAGACCACAAGAGGAGTACAACATCCTAAGGGAAGACTATCTCAATTCAACTCTATAATGAAACAGAATTACATTAGAATACACTAGATTACACTATAACAAACCTTAAAAACAGAAGTTAAGGTGAATTTTTAGAATTGTTTTAACACGTCTTCAAAAGATGTAGCAATTCACCATGACAGGTAAAATGTACACTATACTGCATTTGATCTTTTAATACTTTACTGCCCAAAGGAAATATGTACACTGGGTAGCCTATAGTTATTGGAGGGTGGAGGTGCAGGTGGAGTGGTGTTTAAAAAAATATATATATATATATGTATATATACCTCATGATACATTTAAAAAAATAAGCTCTTGCATATACCTGGCCATTCATAAAAAATACTATACCATTTAGTTTTACCCTAGCTGACAAAAATTACTAAGATCTGATGCATTGCTATTTTCTCCTTTGTTGACTTGACTATATCCTGAGTACAGCCAACTGCACTATTTAATTATTTGATCTCAAGCTAAATGTATTTTAAATATACTGTGGTCCAATTCTTAACCATTTAGGAAGCATACTTAACCATTAGGAAGTATTAGAAACAGCACAAGAAAACAAAGTCCATAAGAACATAATAGGAAAAAAAAAGCAATAAAAATCAATATATTTGATTGGAGGTGTGCCCCATAAGAAACTGGTATTTTTTAAGAAATTCATTTCAAAGCATTAAACTCCCTTTAAGCATGAAGTCCCTTGTAGTGAAAGACAACAGTATGTATTCTTCATACCAGTGGGTATTTGGTATATTGTTCCAGCAGATGTTACGGTACCATCTGCTTTTAACTTGTCTGTGGACTAGCTTAAGCTTTCATAGTATTTTCAGGAAACTGATAAGAAAGGCCATACAAAGTTCTAAAGCCCTGATCCCCAATAAAAAGTGATGATAAATACTTGCTTATTTTTAAATATAAAGTTATTTAAGGCATATTAAAGGTTTGGTTCAAGTCAAAGTCTGAAGACCTCCTCAGTTACATGTTGTTGTAAAAAACACTACTCAATTTCCCAATTTTTCAATTTCATTACTCAATTTTGCTTTGGAAAAGGAATCACAAGGAAATTAAATTATTTATTTTGGCTTAGCAGGGAACTGTACCTTGCTCTTTTATCTGTCGAATCTGTCTCACGGTTTCTTTTAAAATAGCACATTTGTCTGGTTTGACATTGAAATTGTCAATGTCACTCAGATTAGCAGATATCAGCTCAGCCAGTTCTTCAATGTATTTGCTTTCCTGCTCACGTCGACGCTTCTCACCACTGCAGGTCAGACTAGAAACCAAGAACATAATTTCATATACTTACATACCATCATATACAAAAGCTGTACTCACTCTGTGAACTTCAATGTACTTCACGTAACACCTATCCATTGAACCTAGGTAGTAGTTATTCTTGCAGCAAACACAAATCTGAAGGTCGTGTGTGTGTTTCATTACCTTGTTGTTTAGTTTGGTTTTTGTGGAGTTTTTTTTAAGAATTTTAAGTACAAATTCATCTTAAGAGGATAGGAGAAAGCTATTCATCAAAAAAATCCTCCTGTGATTATCGTCAAATTTAATGACAATAGTAAATGTTTGTTATAAAATTGTAACACTCATACAGAAAGTATATTTTAACCTTAGAAGTTACTTTAGAATTGTTTAAAATTTGTTAGACAAATGAAATAGAATTTTAACATTCTGTGAAATCTCTTTAGCTTGCTTGTAACAAGATGACAACAGAAGGTGATGCCTCGGAAATATCTAGGCATCAGGACAAAAATGCCATCTCAACATCCAAGAAAAGCAGAATCACAGACAATCTAATGTTGCTGGATAAAGTCTCTTTCTGAAATTCCTTTTCCATAGATTAATGTGCTGAGTAAAGACACTATCTACAGCCTAAATCAACAGAGATCACTGCATCATACACAGGGTATGCCATGAGCAGGAAAAGGAGGACTCAGGAGAAAAGAAGGGGGCAAGAATGGTCACACTGAGGGAATCAAAAGGTAATGTATAAATATTCTTTGAGAAGAAACCAAGTGAAGGAGTTAGGAAAGTATGCATGGACCTGTATTGAAGAAAACAAATACATGACAAAGCAGAGGCCTGAAAGTTAAAGAAGGCTAATGAAGGGCGACAAACTGAAAAAAAGAATTCCTGAATGGACAGACAGGTCCTGGAGAAAATACGGTGGGAGAATCTGAGGATCTCACACACAATCTGCTGCATGCTGCAGGAAATCAACATAGGACACTGAGGATGTATACAAAAGGGAGAAAGATGAGTTCTCTGCTGACCATAATCACCTGAAATGAGGCCTGTCAAATCAACTACCAGATGTAAGATGCTGCCTTTGAAATTCCTGTGAAGCAAGAAGTTTTTCTTCTTTTGCCTTGCAATTACAGCTTCGGTGATTCCTTATATGTTTATTCTATTAAAATTTCCACAAGAGTCTAATTATAGAGCACAGTTCATCAGCTTTGGAATATTTACACATAATAGTAGAGTTGTGTATCTTCACAACAGAAGCTGACCTGAAGAATTTTTCATCTGAACAAACTGGTTAGTTAGAACTTACTCTAAATTACAATGAAAACTTGAAAAATATTTTAAAACTCATTTAGAAAAAAGAGAAAGGTCTATATAAGCCTACCTTGCACCTGGTGTATCACAGGGCAATGGCTTGCGCTTCCTTGACTCGTTGGTCAGGCTATCCAAGGAGTTTTCTCCTAATCCACTCATCTTGACCATGCATCAGCAACTAAAAGCAATAAAATAAGAACTGTGAATGAACCTTTCAAAATAATAACTCAAAATGCACAGAACTTACCCAGATAAGTTATTTATTTTTATCAGATTTATGAGTATTTTTACTGGAAATATATATATCTTTTTACTATTAAAAAATAATATTTGGTTACCGGTTTTTAAAAATCTACTTTGTATTGTGCCAAAGCATAGGTTTACAAAGCCTTATATCAAGGTAAACAAAAATAAATGTGAAAAAATGCATTTAGTTTGATTCAGAGATGTTTAAAATATTGCACCATAGTACTGAGACCACTGTACAGCTCCAATACGTCTGAAAATAAAAAGATTCTCAGTGTTTTAATGTTTAGGTAACTTGAAAGGGGTAAATTAATGTGTTATACCAAAACGTAGTTAAATACTAAGGATAAAGTTAGATACCATCAAAGAAAAAGGCAAGTGATACTCTAAGGCAATGAAGGATGGGTGACCAGAACACTGAACATACAGACATGTCAAATAAAATTTCCTTTTCTGTCTGCTCCTTTCTTTTCTTCATGTAACCCAGCCTCTGCAGCCACAAATAACTGTCATCCTTAGGAGTAAATCAGTGGGCTTAAATGAGTTTCACACCTGGCTCAGTATAAAGCCAACAGATTACTACTACTGTCTCTAACTCAACAGGTTACTATAGTCTTAACTTCATATCTCTTTCTAAACTTCCTAAAATGAACACAGTTTTCTTAATCTTTGAGGACAAGGCAAGCAAAGACTTCAGAACTCTTCCAATTCTATTGTTTCTGCAGCAAAGATTGGGTCATAACGCAATAAAATAATAGGTTGCTTTTCTTAAAGTCTAGCTCTATGAAACAAGCCTGGCAGATTATATAACCATGGCACTCATCTCCCCTCCGTCCCAAGAGGAAAAAGGAACACAGTGCAGAGAAGATACCTAAACCAGATCATGCTATGCTACCATCAACGACGTGCTGAGGGAGGAAAAAAAATTTTTAATGGATCTGTGCTATTTATCTAGCCAGAGTATTTTAGAACATAATTTGAACTACAAAATAATCTAATAATTAGTATTTGGGTTTTTGTACCACAATGACAAGGTGACATATCTGGGCAGTTAGAAGTTTAGCATTATTTTATCCTATTTACAAAATTTCAAAATTAAATATGAATTTAATTTACTGCAATCTAGTTCAGACTGCATTTCTTCACCCCATACAGCAACAACAGTAACTGGTCTTAAACATTTAGGTAAGACAGTTGTACTTGTTAGTTGGAGAGCAACTTCTCCATATCATATAACCCAGTCACAAATCTTTCAGGAAAAAAAAAGCTCTTTAAGGATCTCCACAACCCACCATTATTACTACTAAGAAAAAAAAATGGTTTAGGATGACCAAATCCCTAGAGGTCAGTGATCACATATCACAAAGACAAGGAGCTACCGGCATACTTTCACTTAAATGAAGTTTATGTTAAGGTGTCAGAGGCTGGTAGCCAGCTGACTTGAAGCAGCTCTGCCGAACAGGATCGGGGCACCCTGGTGAACAAGACGTTAGTTAAAGACAAGTCAGCAGTGTACCCCTGCAGCAAAGAAAACCAGCCTCTTAGGCATTTAGTCAACTAAGTGCTTTCAGGAGAAGACATGTAAAGAAAAGAAAGAAGTGTGTGTATTACTTCTGGCTACTAACCTTGACTGATTGGGGTTTTTCCTTACTGGCTTTTTGTGGCAAAACAGTAATACTGCTTTAGTTCTTTCTAAAGTCTAAACTGAAAGCGCTAAGACACACAAGAACTTATTTGCATGAAGCAGCATGGGAGTTGCTTGCAATAGCTGATACTCTTACTGCAGGATGTTAGCTACAGTGGGAGAATTTAAAAGGACATTCTTCTTACAGCAGTACAAACCTTTGAAAGCTAGACAGGACAGAGGACTGCTGGCTGCACTGAAGAGCAGACACTGGATTGCTCTAGCACGTGTACGAAGCTCAGAAGTAAAATGGCATCTCTTTAAATCACAAGTTCTCTTTGCAGCTAAGCACATGTTACAATGCTTAACATAAAATTGTATTCATGACCAATCATCATCCCAATTGACAGGCATTAGGAGAGGAAGGATAATATAATTTTTGCATCACAATAAAATAAAAAAAAAACCTACAGTAAAATGTGATCTTGAATTTGAAATAAACAACTATAAAAGATGCCTAACTCCGTGACTATGGTCACGTACTACACAGACATGAAGTTGGTTTTACATCTAAATATTTGATACAATTCCAGACTGACTAAGACCAAACCCAATATACAGAGAAATGGAAGAGCAATCCTGAAGACTTCCATTCAGTCGTATATTCATCCAGGGTAAAAACCTCTCAGATACATTTACAGTGGCCCACCTTATGTGACGTTCAAGAAGAATATGCCATTATGCCACTAGATGACAGCATAGCAGTGAACAACCGCGGGGCTAATAATTGCTGCAATTAAGCAGCTGAATGAAAAACTACTCCTCTGAAGAAGCAAGCAGTTTCAAACCCAGGTGCTATAAACAGGCTATGATCATGCAAAAAGCAGCCGATTATCCGAAGCTAGCACGGAGTAGATCGTGCGACTCCTCAGCTCTCCGGCCCACCGCCCTGCCAGTCGGGCTGCGGCCCCCGAGCCGCCCCGCAGG